AGAGAGAGATAGGGTGGGGGGTGGGGGGTCATAGAGAGGGTGAGAGGTGGAGGAGAAAGAGAGAGAGAGAGGTAGAGTTGCGTGGCTGTGTGTCTGTGTACCCCGCGGGCTGGTCCCCTACACGTCCAGTGTCCGCTGCTTACAGCCTCCCCAGGCCACACACTGGACACTGAGCAGTAATTAAACCTGGACCCTCGCTGCACGTGACGCTAGGGGAGCCTGGATTTCACCAGCGATTGTTTTTCGATTTGTATCGAACTCCAATCATGACCTGCGCGAGGTTACGTGGTTTTTAATAGCGTATTGTGAGTCCGGGGTGTGATCCAAGGCCGTTCTCGGTGTGCACGGTTCTCTGTCAAGTGTGTGTGTCAAGTGTGTGTGTTAAATTAATGTGTGCGTGTTCTGTTTAACGATTGCGTCACAGAATGTAGCGCATCGTTCTGCACGCGATTCTTGAAAGCATTGTAAGTATAATAATATGGTAGACACAGGGGATTGTGGTTAAGAGCAACATTTGTAGTAGTATTTGTATGTAGTATAGTAACAAACTTTAGGAATAGTTTTAACACAGAAACAATGATAAGAGATTTTACTAAAAATATATGGTCTTGAATTATTGTGAAAATTGCAGCTCAAACTTTTTAAAATATAAAACCGTTTTCAAAATATTTGTTGAAAACAAATAATTGATCGTTTGATTAAACTTGAGAGAAACCAAAAAAATGATCTAAAGAAGGTAGAAGAAAAAAACAACAACTATACCAAAACACACACATTTAATGTGAATATGGCCACAAACTGCTTTTCACGTATCTAGTAGAGATGAAATAAGATAGAGAAGAGAATAAACTAATTCCAAACAACTTTTAAGTAACAAATTATCTATCAAATGCCCGGACTCTTCTTAAATTTTAATAATTGAGCTAAAAATACTATTCTGCCCTTCTAGCCTGATAAATCGGAACTAAAGAAAATCGTATTCGTATTCTTAAACCCAAATAACACTTTTTTCAATAAAACAAACACTATCTTCCTTTTGATGTCTACGTAAACGACGCCTTTACTTTGTCGGTTCGTACCGCGAATGCCCCACCCCCACCCCCACCCCTGATAAAATCACGAGTTTATTTATAATTATTTCTTTGTTTATACACACACACACAGGGGGCTCTCGTGGCCTAGACGTTAAGGTGTTCGCCTCTCATTCAAACGGTCCCGGGTTCGAATCCGGGTAGCGACAGACATATTTTCTTTCTCAAATTTTGTTCTTTCACATCCTTTCCTGCTCTCCAACAATGTTCTGTCGTCTGCTTT